GGTTAGGAGTTAATTCTTTATTTTCTTCTCTAAGACAGCGAAAGCATTCTATTAGTGTAGAATGAAACCTTTCTACGGGGGAGTTGGAATTACTATTTTTAGAAGTTGTGAAATGTAGTTCTATATGGTGAAGTTTACAAAAATCTATAAGGTCATTATTTTTAAATTCTGTGCCACAGTCGGCAGTAATTTTATAAGGTAAACCGTGGTGGCTTACGAAGAGAAGTAAATTTTCCACTACGGAGGTGCCATTGACACTAGGTAAAGGATATGCTTGGGCATATCTCGAAAATGAATCTATAATCGTTAAATATGATTGGTTAGAAATTTTAAAGACATCTACATGAATATGTTCAAAGGGTTTTGATGCAGTGGGAGTTAGACTAAATTTTATAATTGGAGGATTTCTATCGTATTTATTTTTAAGACAAGTTTCGCAATTATTTATAAATTGTTCGATATCTTCTGCCATTTTTGGCCAATAGTAACGTGATCCTAAGGACATTTTTACTTCGTTTATACCGCGATGTCCTTTTTTGTGTATGTGATAATACTCTAATGTTTCTTTCTGTTCCCGAGTATCTATTATGTCAGTTAAAAATTTTGTAGAATGTACAAACTTAAAAGCGGAATTTTTAAAATAATTCTGAACTATTACTACAAATGTTTCTGGTAAAATATTTTCTTTAAAGTACAAAGCATAAGTCTTTTTGGGATCTATATATTCTTTTACAAATTTAAAAATACTTTCTTCAATATTTCTTTGGGGTAAAGTAACATAAAATCTGTTATTATCAAATATTTTTTCATTTTTGCATTTTATTTTATTTATTTCTCCAAATGTTAATATAATTTGATTTTTATAAGTATTTAGGGCCTTTTCGGTTATGGGTATACCTAGAATGGGATTTTCTAAAGAGGTATGACAGGTTTCTAAGTCTGAGTCGTTTCTTTCGGGATTTTCGAAAGGGGGTCGAACTTGTATGTCCGAAATAATATTTATTTTACTAGTTAATCCATCATTTAGTAAGGAGTCAAGGTCTCCTTCTGAAAGTTGCGGTAAGTCGTCAAGGTTGCGTAGTTCATTATCTATTATTTCATTTATGTCACCTAAATTAACGTCCATCGATTCCGTTTCGAGAGCATTTAAATCGGAATCTATTTTAATTCTAGAAAGCGCGTCGGCTACTTTATTATTTTTCCCTTTTAAATATTGGATATCATAATCAAATTCTTCGAGCTTAAGTCTCCACCGTACTAAGCGAGAGTTTGGCTCTTTAAGTGAAAATAACCACTGAAGGGGTTTATGATCAGTTAAAATTTGGAATCTGCGACCGAAGAGATATGGTCGAAAATATTTGCAACCGTATACAATCGCTAATAATTCTTTCTCTATGGTGGAATAATTAATTTCGGCTGAATTTAAAGTACGTGAGGCGTAACATATAGGGTGGTTATCTTGCATGAGAACGCTGCCAATTGCATAATTAGAAGCATCAGTTATTAATTGAAAATTTTTGTTAAAGTCGGGATAAGCTAAAATAGGTTCTGAAGTCAAAAGATTTTTACAAATATTAAAACAGTCTAAGAATTCTTTGTTGTGGATAACTTTCTGATCCTTTTTTAAACACATGGTCATAGGTTTAGTTATAGCTGCGAAGTTTTTAATGAATTTTCTATAGTATCCTAACAAACCTAAAAATGATTTTATTTCTTTCTGCGTACGAGGGATTGGAAAATTTTTAATCGCTCTAATCTTTTTTGGATTAGGCTTAACTCCGTCTGGGGTCACTATATGCCCTAAAAATTCAACTTCCTTTCTAAGGAATTCGCATTTGTCAATTTGTATTTTTAATTGTGCGTCTTTTAATTTTGCAAACACCAATTTTAAGTTTTGAATGTGCTCTTGGAGGCTTGTGCTAAAAATAATTATATCGTCCATATATACCATACAGATTTTGTTTTGTAAATCCTTTAATATTTCATCCATTACCCTTTGGAAGGTGGATGGTGCGTTTTTTAAGCCAAAAGGCATTCTTAAAAATTCGTAGTGTCCATTATTGACACTAAATGCTGTTTTTTCTATGGAGCAGGGGCTCATCTCGATTTGATGAAAGACGCTAGCTAAGTCGAGAGTAGTAAAATATTGTGCTCGTCCTAATTTGTCCAATATTTCGGTAATATTGGGTATCGGATATCGATCACTAATGGTTTTATCATTAAGTTTCCTATAATCTATAACACAGCGAAATTTTTGTTGATTGGAAGAATCGAGTTTCTTCTTTACTATCCAAAGTGGGGAACCCCAGGGACTATTACTGGCTCTAATAATTCCGTCGTCTAACATTTTGTCAATTTGCTTTTTAATTTCTTCCTTGTGAACATAAGGATATCTGTACGACTTTACATGTACAGGTTCCTCGTCGGTTGTTTTAATAACATGTTTTACTTTTGACGTAAATGTAAGTGGGTCGCCTGGTTTCAAAAATATGTCTTTATATTGCGAGCATAATTTAATAATTTCCGATTTTTCTTCCGTGTTCATATGATCCGTTCTAATAAGATTTTGGATTTGCATTTTATCTATTTTATAATTATTTTGTCTATTAGAAAATTCAAATTTATAACATTGATAAACGTTAGAATCGTATGGATAAGCGTTTATGGGTTTTAATAAGGTTATAGATAAATTTTTATTAGTTTCATTGACAAATTCTACTAAAGCTAAACCATCATTTGCTACAGTTAGCATTTCTGGTACATACATATCACCTAAAACTATCTTATCGATTAATATTTCACCGTTCGGTACGGACACAGGGACTTCTTTTCTAATCTTTTCATAAGGGCCAACAGATATTTTAAACTTTATGTCTGATGGTTTTCTAAATTTAATAGGAATTATTGTGTCTCTGCTAACGAGACATTTATTACTAAAATCAATGTTAAACTTCATGGATAATAGGTCATTAACACCGACTAAGCCATCATAAAACTCATGAAAGTCATATAATATGTAGTGCAGTATATTGTTTCGATTAAATTCTTGGAACGCCGGTATGGCTGCTTGGTATTTGATATTTTTCGTGCCAAGAGACGTAGAAATTGAAACGTTTGAAGGATATATGCAATCTGAATAAAATTGTTCAGCAATACTGGGTTTTAAGATTGATTTCGTACTACCAGTATCAATTAATAATTTTAATGGGGGGTTAGAAATAGTGATGTAAGGTAAAGGGTTATTAGAGGTTAGATTTAATTCGATTAAGTTATTTGGTTTTCTGAGGCGGTTTCTTGAAAATTCTGAGGAAAATAATCTAAATCTACTTGTTCACCGGAATGGATATCTGCGTCGACGTCGCTATGCGTCTGTTCGCATTCTTGTCTATCGTAACCATTATTATATAATTCTTCAACTATAATATTCGGCTTTTGCCCATTATTTTGAAAATAGTTTCTATTAAAATTATTTGTTCTTCTGTTAGACGTTGAAGGGAATCTAGAATTTGTAGAAATATTCATCGGTTCCGGCTTTGGGACGCGATGTTGGGGAGTTCGATTTGGTCTGAAAACATTCGTATTTCGGGAAGGTCCAAAGACTTCTGAATTAGTTGGGAGTCTTTTAGGGGGTAATTGTTGAGGCTGTACATTAATAGGTTGGCGGGGCCATTGGAAATTTTGGGGATAATTATTATTTGTATTAAAGTTTGGATTTTGGGGAATAGAAGAATTTGTTTGAAAATATTGATTATTCATGGGATTATAAAATTGCCCGTTTGGATTAGGGAAATTCCGATTTCTGAAATTGCCTTTATTTTGGTGCGACTTATTGTCATTATTACTTGAATAAAATTTCTCGAAATTCTCAAATTCATTTACATAAGCTATGGCGTGTTCTAAAGAAGCTGGTGCTTTTAAATGCATATTATTTTTTAATGTGCCGGTACAACCCGCAATAAAAGTATTTAGTGCTGTATTTTCGCAAAATTGTATGAAAACAGTTTTTTGATTTACATCAAGACTAGTATCATTGCTAATTCTTTGTACTATATTACTTGCTAACAATTGTAATCTATTTCCAAATTCTATTAAATTTTCATTTCTTTGTGGCCTAGTTCTAGTAAGTTCTTGTATTAAGGATTGTAAATTACGTTTATCAGAAAAACATTGTATAAGTGCGGCTTTTAAAAGTGCCCAATTATTTAATTCTACCCTATTTCCTACCATAAGCTCAGCTTTTCCTATAAGTTTTCCTTGAATACATTCAAAAATGTGATCATTTAATTCTTGGTCATTATATGCTCTATATGTAATAATTAAGTTATCGCAAAGATAAATAAATTTATTTAAAGTATTAGTATCTCCATCATAAGGTCTAATATTTGAAATTTTTGACTTAAATAGTTCCCAATTAATGGGACGCGTTGCCGTCGCTTGATTAGCTTGAACGGTTTGGTTAGTTGCCATTTTAATATTTTTATTATCTTTATTTTTCCTACTTTTAATCTTTAGATTTTTAAGAGATTCTACCAAGGAATCAGCATTAATCATAAAATGAAAATATCGTCTAATAAACAATGTCTTAACAAGCTATCTTCCAAATTTATGAAAAATAAAAGGAAGGCAAGAAGGAACTTGGCACTCACCTCGATAGTCTTTGCCAACTACTTCTCCAGATTCGTCCACCCAAATGAAGGACTGCTGTCACTGAAGGGCTGCTTTCCAATGGGGGCTGCTTTCCACTAAACGGAATGTTCTTTGGATTTGCACTTAAGGCGTTGAAACACCAAAGTCCCGAAAAAGTCTGCTTTCCGATAGATACGAAATTCACAGTTTCGCGACTCGCACAAATCCTACTGACTGCGCCAATTTTAAATTTCAAAAATGAAATTTGTTTTTTAAAAAATATTTTTATTTCTAAGCTACAAATAAATACATCTAAACTGAACAAGACCAAGAATAATAATGATTTTTACAATGCGAATAATTAAAGAAACAATATGATAACTTCTAGGGGAAACTGCAGAGTAAGCTGCAGGTGTTGGTTGCGATTCTGCCAGGTCCGGACTTTCGTACCATGTAACTATCGTTTGTTTTTTAACAATTTTAGTTTTGTGCAATGATTCATTTGTGAAAAGACTTAAATGGCATGGAATAACACGCGAAATAAAAACAGTGAATAAAGTTTCTTTGTTTTTAAAATAATTAAAATACCGTGAATAATTTTTATTTAAATTTAAGTATAGTTTTCCTACAATAGTAAATAATAGATTATAATTATTAATTCAATTGTATCTCAATTTTACGACTGAACTAATGATTAATCCTCTTATTATTTATGATCAAAGAACTGTACTAAAAATGGTTCCAAACATTCCTTGGGTGAATCTCCATAGATTTATTTTTATTATCTAATTTTGGAAAAGTACTTTTATCATATATTTATGTGTTTGTAAGACACACTTCTTTCCTACAAAAAATTAAAGTTTTAATTAATTTAAATAATTTTTTATTACCTTGGTATTTCTGCTTAATGGGCATCTCTTTTATGGGATTATTACATATTATGCCAATAAAATGCCTTAAAAAAAAGATATTCTCAAATTCAACAAATATTTTAAGATATTTTTGATTATTTTAGCTGCATTTTAAATTAATTGAAATATAATGTATAATTAAATATTATTGGTTTTATTTTTATGTATTTATCCTTGTACGAAATTTAATATTATCAAAAGTTTTAATTACCTTATTTCTTGTGTGTATACCTTTAATAAGTAAAGCAATAACATTTTATAATCATTTCCTGTTTTAGTTTTTAGTACTTGCTGCATTCATTGCAGTAGCTAGTGCAGGTTCCTGGGATTCGGGTCTCGGCTACGCCGCACCAGCTCTAGTTGGCCATGGATCTCATGACGCCATCTCTACCTACTCCACCGTACAGCATCATGCTCCATCTGTACACTCCTACGCTGCTCACGCTCCCCTAGTCCATGCTCCACTTGCTCATTCCTACGCAGCTCCTTTGGTTCACGCTCCAATCGCTCACGCTTATGCTGCTCCAGTTGCTCACGTTGCTGAACCCTCAGCACCTGCCCACTACGATTTCGCATATGGTGTAAGTGACCCCCATACCGGAGATGCTAAAAGCCAACACGAATCTCGTCGTGGAGATGTTGTTCACGGAAGCTACTCACTCTTGGAGTCCGATGGAACCAAACGTACCGTCGATTACACTGCTGATGCACATAATGGATTTAACGCCGTTGTACACAAAGAACCTGCCGTACATACTGTTGCTCCAGTTGTTGCCAAAATCGCAGCCCCAGTAGCTTATGCTGCCCCAGTAGCTCATGCCGCTTATGCTGCTCCAGCAGTTCATGCCGCGTACGCTGCTCCAGTTGCCCATGCTGCTTATGCCGCCCCAGTTGCCCATGCCGCTTACGCTACTTCAGCTGTTCATGAATACTCTGGCTCAGTTGCTCATGGTTACGCTGCTCCTTTGGTTCATGGTCATCATGGTTATGCTGCTCATGCTCCAGTTCTTTCACATAACTTATGGTAATTCTAGAAAGAAAGAATTGAATATTTTGTATTTAAATTATTTATATTGCTCGAATTACAATAAAAGGTTGTCAAAAAATATTTATTTTGGTGTAAAAATATTTAATAGACATGCCAGTAATTTGTATCTAGAAGTATGGTACAGCTAATGGACATAATTATTATTTTCAATCATATTTCTATTATGAAACATATTTATAATGATCTAAATATCTAAAATATAAAAAAGTATATAAATCAAAATAAATTACATAGCTTTATACAAATACTTTTTTGATATGCATATTTTTTTACAGACTTATACTACAAAATGTACTTAGATTACAGCTACCTGACGAAAGACATGCCAAACGTAAATACGTTTTACATTCCTTTACTCAGATATGTGTAGCTTCCTTGATGCTGTTGATAGTTGTTGCCCTGGAAACCATCAGGGTCTTTTAACACTATTGTCACAAATGGGTCGCATTACTTCTTCTCTACTTTTTCCAAGTTAATGTTGTATTTCGTAGAGTGTAGAGAATGGACCAATAGCTTGAAAATAGCTAATTATCTTCTAAATTAATAATCAGAATTATATAAAATATAGGATACGCCTAGTCTGCAATATAAAGATTTTAAATTTGATACTTGAAATGTTGCCAGATTAACTGTTTTTCTGATATGATTAATCACTTGGATTTTTTAAACACACCACTCTGCATATGCATATGTATAATATAATAGTGGTGCATTCTATAATAATATAATATAATATATTGGTGCATTCTTAACAACGGAAAATACAGTAATGTGGCCAAAAATTACGATGCAACGTCAGAACTATTGCAAAAAACTATAATAACCAAGAAGCCGAAACGTATCTTGATCACGCGGCATACTTTTATTAATTGAATAATAGATATTTGGCGCCAAATAAATGTTTTTAATAATTTGCAGAAGAAGATGTTTTGGTATCAGATTATGTAAAGGCAATCAAAATCTTCAAACGAATCGCTAGTTTCGAATTATCTAGTTCAACAAGAAAACACGTAGCTAATGAATACTTTTTCAGATGTATCATATGTTCTTTGCGCTGGTGCTAGTGTTATAAAAATAGTACTTACTTATATTTACATATTTGATGAAATAAAATGTGTAATGACAATGTGGCATGAAATATGAATTAGTTTATTTTGTTTTCATTGGCACAAGATATTCAACTAATAAAACAGTTGTCAGAATTCCATTTTAAACAACCCACCATCCCGACGGAATAGCCCATGCACGATCGGTAATCGTAGTCAGATCATCTATTAAACATAACATTTTACAACGTTATTCCACACCTAAAAGTCAGAGTACTAACACACTTTCACTGCTACAATTAATATAGCCTAGTTTTAACCTAAGTTTGGACCATAGCGCCATAATAATAATATTAAGCATAACTATATTATACAATTAACAGCCAATAAGACTATCTAACAAAAAAACAAACTAGAAACCATTGGAAAGCACCATTAACTACAATATAACATTAGATCTCCGAATAAAAGAATCTGATATGTTGGAATTTGCGGTACAAAATCTAACGGCTGCAATACAAAAAGCTGCTAGGAAATCTACTCTTATAATGTGGGTTATCCTGAAGACAACAATGTGCCATTACATATCAAACAAATTCTAACCGAAAAAAGGAGAACGCGTGCAAAATGGTAAAGGTCCCGAAATCCACTCGATAAGACACAGCTAAATAGACTTACACACGAGCTACAGTCAGAGCTGTCCAATTTTGTAATGACACTTTTAATTTTTATATTAAAAATGTCTCTTTAGAAGACCACTCTATATGGACAACAACTAAAAAATTCAAGAACCCGATGTTGTCAATTCCTCCGATAAGAAAATCTGATAGAAGTTCGGCGCAGATTTGCAGACTACTCCAAATTTAGGTCAAAACATAAACTATGATGTAGTTAGCGAATATTAAGATGCATTCATGTCAGCAGCATGGAAGAAGGAGTACAATCCTGACCTTTGTTTTGTCTCTACTGATAAAAACTGGCAACCTCTATCAGTCTCTCGAAAAGTAATGGACGACTTCACACACAGCCAGACCGCCCAGTGATTTTAGAGGCGAGAACGCAGATTCCTATAATCGCATCCATCCCTCGCCTACGTTGGAATCTAAAGAAAGCCATTTAGGGTAGCTTTTTTGCTAAACTGGACAAGAGGTCCAGTCTAGGTTGGAAACCCCCTACCATCCGAAATTACAAAAGATTCGTTGAAGCCGTAATAAGCACGGCCAAAAATCAGATACCAAGAGACTACCGAAAAGAATACATTCCTGGTTGGTCCCATAACAGCGAAGAACTGTACCAAAATTTGGCTAAAAGCGGCGATCAAAAATTAGCCGATGAACTGCTCCATAGCCTAGATGCAGCGAGACAACAAAAATGGACGGAAACTGTGGAAAGTCTTAATTTTCAAACATCAAGTATGCAAACTAGGACACAACTAAGACAATTAGGAAGCGGAAATCCCATAACAAGGAACAAAACAACAATTAACCCAAACACTGTTGCCTCACATCTAGTATCGACATCTAGGGCCCCGCAAGAAAAGCCGCACACAATCAAGGTAAAACGAGAGCTCAAAACTTTAAAATTCCACTCTGCAGAAACCGAATACTCTTGCCCATTTACTTGCGAGGAAGTTGCTATAGCTCTCAAGGATGTAAAGCCAGGTAAAGCCCCAGGTTTTGACAATATTCATCCCGAATTCTAAATTAACAGCGGCAAATATGCGAGGGAATAGATGGCCCACTTTTTCACAGAAATTATAAAAGCCAGTACCATACCACAGGAACTCAAACGCTCGAAGATCATTGCCATATTAAAACCAAGGAAACCAAATGATAGCAACCCTAAGAACTACAGACCAATAGCCCTACTATCGGGAACGTTCAAGCTACTCGAACGACTTATCTATAACAGAATTAGTCTATATAAAAAACGGAATTAGAAGTTTGGTTACGCCGATGACTGGGTCCGTGCAACAAGGTGTAAGCCAATTGAACAAACAAAAGAAGTCCTTAGGACAGACTCAAACACAGTGGGAAATTATTTCCCTAAATGGAGGCTCCAAGCAAACGGTACCAAAACATAGGTTTCCAGTTTTTATCTAAATAACAAGCTTGCAAGAAGAACATTGAACATTTAATTTGAAAACACCACACTTGCGTAGAATAAAACACCAAAGTACCTTGGGGTGACTCTTGATAGAACCATATCTGTCAACGAACATCTGTCAAACACAGCGGAAAAACTTAAATCCAGAAACATCATCCAGAAGCTATGCGGCACAACATGGGGAGCATCGGCTTCCACCTTGCGATCATCTGCCCTGGGCCTTGTCTTCTCAACCGCGGAATACTGCTCTTCAACCTGGCTTAACAGCCCACATACACACAAAGTAGATTCCCAATTGAACAATACAATGGGAATGATTGCTGGTGTTATCAAATCCACCCCTACGCAAAGGCTCTCAATCCTGAGCCACATTCTACCACCCACACTACGGCGTATATACTCCCTTACTAGTGAGTAACAAAAGATGCTTATCAACGAGACCCTGCCAATTCATCAACATATAGATGCTGCCAACGGTAACCGTTTACGCACCAGATGACCGCCAATAAAAACAGCACAGATTACGGTGGAAAATGAGTTCAAATTAACGACTACTTGGACTCGAGAATGGATGGAACAACAAAATAGCAGCTTACCCTGCATCACACAAAAACCACCAGGTTTTAACTTACCACGCAACACATGGACTATGTTGAACAGAATCAGAACCAAACATGGCATATGCGCTTATATGATGCACAAATTCGGTAAACGACAATCACCACTCTGTGACTGCGGACAACCACAAACCATCTGTCACATTACAGAACAGTATTCCTCAAGATCCTATCAAGGCAGGTCAGAGGATTTCCTAATGGCGACTCCAGAGTCGATAGAATATATAAATAAGTTAGATGTTCGTTTGTAAACATATGTGTAATGTATACAAAATATATATAAATTTAAATGTAAATGTGTCAAGTGCCATACGATAAGTAAAATCTAGATGTATCCTGCCAACTATTACCTCCAATAAAAGCATACTTCCCATTCGAGGTTCGCAGAATAATAATGAGTACTAACTCTTACAAAGTTTCGGGATACGATTTAATCGATGGGAGAATCCTAAAACATCTACCCAGTGCTTACTGTTAACAATGCAGTGGAAATATACTCATATTATAATGATTGGAAAGCCACATACGTTGACTACAGAATTTTCCTCCTATCGTCCGATAAGCTTGTTACCCTTGATGTCCAAGATATTTAAAAGACTCTTGCTAAATAGAATAAGCAAAACTGTACCACTCGAGAACATAATACACTAACATCTGTTTGGTTTTTGACAAACATATTCAACAATGCAAATATCATAGAATAGTAAATAAAACTAAGAAAAGTTTGGAAGAAGCGACTATGTGTACCTCAGTATTTCTTGATATTCAGCAGGATCTTGATAAAGTCTAGTACAACGGTTTGCTACATAAATTAAAATCCTTAATGCCTAGTGATATGTACCTTATCCTGAAGTCCTATATTAACGAACGTTATTTCCAAGTAAATATCAATAATGATTTCTTAATCTATCACTTAATCCAATCCGGAGTTCCTCAGGGAAGAGTTCTTGGTCCCTTTCTATACCTAATCTTTACTGCTGACATACCCATTACATATGATGTCACAGTGGCGGCTTTTACCGATGAAACAGTCGTTTTAGTTTCAAACAAAGACGCAAACAGCATCTAAAAAGCTCCAAAATGACTTGTATACATTAGAGAATTGGTTGACAAAATGGAAAATTAAAGTCAATATTGAAAAATCAGCCCAAATCATATTTACAACAAGAAGATGCACTTGTCCACAAGTTGGTTTAAACAATGTCCCCATT